AAGAGATTGGATTTATGCCCCGCCCTTCACTATCCAAAGGCGTCTTTGTGAATTTAGCAGTGAAGTGGCTAAATTTGCGGATGATACGAAGTTGTTCAGGGTAGTGAAAACCAGTGAGGATTGTGAGGCACTCCAAAGGGATCTGTCAAAGATGGGCAAGTGGGCGTCGACATGGCAAATGGGGTTCAATGTGGCCAAGTGCAAGGTGATGCACATTGGAGCCAAAAATCCTAACTATAAATACATGTTGATGGGGTCCGAACTGGCAGAGCCTGACCAAGAGAGAGATCTTGGAGTCGTAGTAGATAACTCACTGAAAATGTCGAGACAGTGTGCGACTGCAATAAAAAAAGCCAATGCTATGCTGGGGATTATTAGGAAGGGTATTGAAAACAGATCAGCCAATATCATCATGCCCCTATATAAATCAATGGTGCGACCTCATTTGGAATACTGTGTACAGTTCTGGTCACCACACCTTAAAAAGGATATTATAGCTTTGGAAAAAGGGCAGAAAAGGGCAAGTAGAATGATAAAAGGGTTGGAACACTTTCCCTATGAAGAAAGGTTAAAGTGCTTGGGGCTCTTTAGCCTGGAGAAACAACAACTGAGGGGGTGACATGATTGAGGTTTATGAGATTATGCATGGGATAGAGCAGGTCGAGAAAGAGGTACTTTTCTCCCTTTCTCACAATACAAGAACTCGTGGGCACTCCATGAAATTGCTGAGTGGTCCAGTTAGAACAGATAAAAGGAAGTCCTTCTTCACCCAAAGAGTGATTCACACATGGAATTCACTGCCACAGGAGGTGGCGGCGGCTACAAGCATGGACGGCTTCAAGAGGGAATTAGATAAGCAAATGGAGCAGAGGTCCATCGGTGGTTATTAGCCACAAGGTATAGATAGGGGCTCCGGGGCAAGTGATGCTCTGTATCTTTGGTGCCTGGGGGGGTCAACAGTGGGAGGGCTTCTGGTGTCCTGGCCCCACTGCTGGACCTCCTGATGGCACCTGGTATTTTTGGCCACTGTGTGACACAGAGTGTTGGACTGGATGGGCCACTGGCCTGATCCAACATTGGCGTCTCTTATGTTCTTATCTCCTGCTCTACCCTGGCACTCCACTCCTGGACATTCCAGCATGGTGAGAGCTGGTAGAGCAGGGGTCTCCAACACAATGCCCGTGGGCACCACGGCTCCTGCCGACAGCTTTCCCGACACTCAACTGTTTTTAGCAAGTGGGTAGGGCCAGGTGGCAAACCAACTCTGAACGTCTCTTGCTTTGCAAACTGTACAGGGTCACCATAAGTCGGCGCAACTTGATTGCACTTCCCACCTCCGGAGCCAGGTAGGCGTCTTGCCGGTTACCTAGCTCCGCCCAGTTTATAGAAACACTTGACAGGCACCATATAGAGGACCTCTGACCAATGCTCCCTCTAAGCTGTGGAGTTTTATGAGCAAAAATTCTATTTTGTGAGCTGCTGGCATCAAAGTTGTGAGCGAGCGATTTGGCTGCTGCATAAATTAGCTTGCTCTGGAGCCATCCTTCCTGAGCGGAGACAGAAATGGGTGAGCCAGAGACTCAAAAATTGTGAGCTAGCTCACACTAACCCAGCTTAGAAAGAATACTGCCCCGACTGGGGGGGGGGGGACTGGCCCTCCTCAAGGATGTGCCGGGAATTTGCAGCTTTCATCCCAATGTTCCTCCCACCTCCTTCCACCCCAGACAGCCGCCCCCCAACGGGCCTTTCAATGAAACCCCAAAGCAGTCAACAAGAACACACAATAATACAAAACAGCAGGAGGACGTAATGCAAGTTGGCAGAACAAAGGAAGCTCTCTGTGGAGAAAGAGTCATCAGCTCAGAACGAGCTACGGGGCACTTCCGTTCCAAAGTTGATTTATTAATTCAATTTCTGAACCGCCCTCCCCCATACTTGGAGCATTGGTTCCAAAATATCCTCGTTTGCACCTTTGCCTTCAATGGTGGAAACCTCTGAAGATGGAACTCAGTATCTGAGCCGCTCAGTCTGGGGCGAGGGATGCTCTGTATTCTTGGAATGGGGGGGACAGTGGGAGGGGCTTCTGGTGTCCTGGCCCCACTGCCGGACCTCCTGATGGCCCCTGGTGTTTTTGGCCACTGTGTGACACAGAATGTTGGACTGGATGGGCCACTGGCCTGATCCAACATTGGCTTCTCTTATGTTCTTTTGTCTGGGGCAAGGGATGTTCTGTCTTCTTGGTGCTTGGGGGGGGGGCAACAGTGGTTGGGCTTCTAGTGTCCTGGCCCCACTGCCAGACCTCCTGATGGCGCCTGGTATTTCTGGCCACTGTGTGACACAGAGTGTTAGACTAGATGGGCCACTGGCCTGATCCAACATTGGCTTCTCTTATGTTCTTTTCTCTGGGGCAAGGGATGCTCTGTCTTCTTGGTGCTTGGGGGGGGCAACAGTGGGAGGGCTTCTAGTGTCCCGGCCCCACTGGTGGACCTCCTGATGGCACCTGGTATTTTTGGCCACTGTGTGACTCAGAGTGTTGGACTGGATGGGCCATTGGCCTGATTCAACATTGGCTTCTCTTATATTCTCATGTTCTTATGACCTGGCCAGATGTAATGCTATGCCGTCCGCCATTTTATCTGGCAGGTTTAACAAGGTTTCTCATCTGGCCAGATACTGCCCTTGCAGATCGAAATGTGTGGAACCTGTCACTCGTGTTCTCCTGCACTGCAATTTGTATATGGACCTGAGGATCACTTACTTACACTCTCTTTTAACCAGCATGGGTGCTTGCTCTGATGCACTTAAGGTGAATAGACTTTTAAAAGATCTCAGTCCGGACATCACAGAGAAGAAGGTGGCTAAGTTTCTCTGCTTGGCTTTAAAGCTGCGCCAAAGGTTCTTCTAGAATTGTAGATATGAGTTTTAACTGGTTTCAAAATGTATAAATGTATAAATGGTACTGATAATTTATGCCAATAAAGGCTGACTGGACTTGACTAGATGTTCTTATGATATTCCAAGGTGTGAACTTTTTGGCCTGGGAACAGTAGAAGAGAGAGAAGCATTTGACATAACAAAGTTGGAGTCCACTGGCACCTTGAAGACCAACCAAGTTTTGTTCAAGGTACAAGTTTCCATGGGCACGCACACGTTGTCAGATACCTCTTTTCCATCAAACAAACAAAAGCCCTGGTGAGAGATCTCCAGGCACCACCTGGAGGTTGGCAGCACCAACCATTGCTAATGCTGGGTTCTGGCCTTGCTCAGTGGCTTAAAACATCTATGGGCCAAAACGCTGCCCTCCCTTCACGCCGGGATTTGCTCCTCTGCTTTAAGTATTTGAGATTTCGTCCAACTCTTGCCAGTTCAAAAGGACAACGCCTTACGTTCCCCGTTTGATAGGATTTTTTAAAAATCTGTTTGTTGCGTTCAGAGAACAGTATATAGGGGAGGCTGAGACGGAGGAGACTGCTCTCGGCAAAGAAAAGAGGGGGGGAAGGAAGGTAGTTATAAATCATTTGTGGCCTCGACACCGTGCCCTGTGGGAGGCAGGAGGGCCAAGCTCGTAACAGCAGGGGGAGGCAGGCCAGAAAGGCTGAGAGAGATCATGCGGGGTGGCTTCTTTTTAAGACTTCAAGAGGCACTTCTCAGATCCCAGTAATGCTAACACAATTAAAGGGTAACCAAACAAAGGGTGGCAACAGCTGTAAAGAAGCCAGGATGATAAAGGCTAGATGGTGCAAAAGGTACAGTGCGAAATAGACAAGCTTTCTGGTCAAATTCCCCGCAACAAAGCACCTGTAGCAGTCTGGGAAAAGTACAGCGTTAAAACAGACAAGCTTTCTGGTCAAATTCCCCGCAACAAAGCGCCTGTAGCAGTCTGGGAAAGGTACAGCGTTAAAAAAGACAAGTTTTCTGGTCAAATTCCCCACAACAAAGTACCTGTAGCAGACTGGGAAAGGTACAGCGTTAAAACAGATAAGGTTTCTGGTCAAATTCCCCACAACAAAGCACCTGTAGCAGTCTGGGAAAGGTACAGCGTTAAAACAGATAAGGTTTCTGGTCAAATTCCCCACAAAAAAGCGCCTGTAGCAGTCTGGGAAAGGTACAGCGTTAAAACAGACAAGCTTTCTGGTCAAATTCCCCGCAACAAAGCACCTGTAGCAGTCTGGGAAAGATACAGCGTTAAAGCAGACAAGGTTTCTGGTCAAATTCCCCGCAACAAGGCACCTGTAGCAGTCTGGGAAAGGGAGGCCAGGAGTTTGAACGGACTGGCCCTTAACATACCAGGAAAGTTCCCAGAGGGCTACACGGGTGGCTAGGAGTACACATGCGTGGCCAAATGGGCGTGCCAGGCTGCGGCGACCGTAGCCGTAGTTGCAGGCTAATTCAGCGGGTCAGGTACGGTGGTGGTGGGAAGTGCCCTCAGTCACAGCTGACTTATGGTGACCCCTGTAGGATTTCCAAGAGGAAGAGGTGGACAGAAGTGGCTTGCCATTGCCTGCCTCTGCGTCGTGACCCTGGACTTCCTTGGTGGTCTCTAGTGTTCCCTCTAAGCTGAGTTAGTGTGAGCTAGCTCAGTGTTTTAGCCTCCGGCTCACAGATTTCTGTCTTAGCTCAGGGAAGGATGGGGCTCCAGAGCAAACTACCGTATTTTTCGGACCATAAGACGCACTATTTCACCCCAAAAATGTGGCGGGAAAAGTGTGTGCGTCTTATAGAGCGAATGTGGAAAAAAAGAGCCCGTCCAGCGCCCCCCCCTCCCGGCAGCAAGGAGACGGCGTGTGCGGGAGGCGAGATGCATGGTGCCCGGCCTGCGTGGGGAAAGAGCGGCCCCCAGGCCCGAGGAGCCAGGAGGACGAAGAAGTCTCCCCCGGCTGGGTTAGAGCGAGAAAGGTCGGGGGCGAGCACCAGGGCAAGCCGAGGCAGCTCCCTGCCCTCCAAGCCCCGCCAGAAAGCGCCGGGCCACCCCGTCCTTTGCCTTCCTTCAATGTCCCCTTCTAGCCGCCGCCGCCGCACAGCCGGCCCGGGGCTGAGCGAGAGAGGCCCAACGGCCGAACTCTCCGGGCTGCCTGGCCTCCCTTCCGTCGGCCCAGTCCCTCCTGGGGAGCCGCGCCTCCCCTCTCCCCCTCCTCCGCATCCCGGTGGGCTTGGAAGCGGTGGCCGAAGAAGCGGTTGCGGAGGACCCAGGGGTAGAAGTTGAGCGTGTCGCGGGGCTGCGGGCCGAAGAAGGGGCACGGCGAGTGCGGGAGATGGGCAGCGGCCAGCGGTGGGTGGTGGCTCACGGCCTCGGGGAAGAGCAGCTCCAGGCCGCCACTACCATAGAGGGAGCGCCCGGCAGCGGCAGCAAAGCTCGGGAAGCTGGCCCCTCCTCCCTCTACTTTGTGAGCTCCTGGCAGGAAAGTTGTGAGCCGGCGATTTGGCTGCTGCATGAATCAGCTTGCTCTGGAGCCATCCTTCCTCAGCCAGGACTGAACTGTGTGAGCTGGAGGCTAAAAAACTGTGAGCTGGCTCCCAGAGGACGGCGGAAGACAGGAGGGCCGGCTGGCGTGATCTTGCCCCTCCTCTAAAAACTAGGTGCGTCTTATGGTCAGGTGCGTCTTATGGTCCGAAAAATACGGTAATTTATCCAGCGGCCAAATGGCTCGCTCGCCACTTTCATGCCAGGAGCTCACAAAGTAGAATTTTTGCTCACAGGACTCCACAGCTTAGAGGGAGCATTAGACTGGTCTCCTATCTGAGTACGGACCACAGCTGACCCTGCTTCGCTCCTGAGACCTGACAAGATTGGGCTAGCCTGGGCCATCCAGGCCAGGGAAGAAGGAGGAGGAGGAGGAGGAGGAGCAGCTGGTTTTTATACTCTGCTCTTCACTACCCGAAGGGATCTCAGAGTAGCTTACAATCGCCTTCCCTTCTTCTCCCTGCAACAGACACCCTGTGAGGTAGGTGGGGCTGAGCGAGCTCTGAGAGAACTTGTTTTTTTTTAAAGTATTTTTATTAGTTTTCAACACTTTACTAAGACAAACCTCCATAACAATGACAAACCTAAATACATATAAACAACCACAACCACCCTCCACCAGTACCCCCACAATTATCTTTTCCATAGCAACACAGAGAGACTCACATCCTTTCTAAGTCCTATCTTCCCTTTTCTCTCATAGCCTTCACTTTTTATTAATTAGGATCTTATACTTATACCTCTTGCTAAAGCTTTTACTCCTTCAGAGCTATATCATGGTTCTTATCTGTGCTGTGGACCTTAAGCTTCTTAGTATTATGATTTTTATATATTTTTTCCTTGTGTTATCTTCTTATAGTTATATATATTTATAAACTTCTGCTCCTGCTCATGTCTTAATTCAGTCATTAGCATATATACTTTTTCATAATCCTGTAACTTTATTTACTTTGTATGAGTTGGTGGTGTATCATGTGATGTATATTCACTGAGATGATGGTATAAGGGAACTATAGGTATAAGTTTAGTGGAATGTGATAGATGAAAACTAATTATGATAAGAGAGTTGTTGTATGTAAGGTAAAATTGCTGATATTTATTAATGAAATGTTAGAAAATTAATTATTTATAATTATTAGAGTTAGAACTATTTATAAAGGGAATGAAATTATATATGAAAATGATAAAATGTGAAGGGGTTTTGTTTTAGTTGATGACAAATGTATCAATTATTGGAAGTTAATGGGAAGACTAAATTCTCTTAATAGTTAATTTAGTTAGTGATGAATATATGATGTGTATCTGGAATTAAGGTTTAAAGCTATGGAGATTGAGAGGTATAAATTTATAGAAGGTATAGGGGATGAATAGGATGGTTTTGGAATGTGTGCAATGTTTAATTAAATATAGTGAAAGGAGATTATTTTTGATATAGGTATAAGTTTATGTTGTGACATGTGAAGGCTTAAATTTATCATTGGTAAAAGAGAACAGTCTTGTTTTGTTAAAGGATTATGAAAAAGCTCTGAGAGAACTTGTGATGGACCCAAGGGCACCCAGCTGGTATTCCTTGGAGGTCGCCCTTCCAAATGCTAGCCAAGGCCGACCTTGCTTAGCTTCCGAGATCTGACAACATCGGGCTAGCCTGGGCTATCCAGTTCAGGGCACAGACAGACAGACAGACAGACAGATGTGTGCGTATTTTACCGTGTTTTCATCTTCTTATTGTTTGCAACCACGGGAACCCTAAGTTAGGTGAAAAGGAGACTTAAAAATAATTTAAATAAAACCAGTAACTGAACCGCAGCATCAAAATGTAGATGGTTCCGCAAACCAGGGGGGTGTGGTGGTTAGAGCGGGAGACCAAGTTTCAAGTCTCCACCCTGCCGTGGAAGTTCGCTGGGTGACCTTGGGACAGTGGTCCTCTCTAAGCCTAACCTGCCCTCTTTCTGGTCAGTGGCTCAGTGGCAGAGCATCTGCTTGGCATGCAGGAGGTCCCAGGTTCAGTCCCCGGCATCTCCAGTTAAAAAGGACCAGGCAGTAGGTGAAGTGAAAGACCTCTGCCTGATGTGAAAGATCTTCATCTGGGACCCTGGCTCAGTGGAAGAGCCTCTGCTTGGCATGCAGAAGGTCCCAGGTTCAATCCCCGGCATCTCCAGTTAAAAAGGACCAGGCAGGAGGTGATGGGAAAGACCTCTGCCTGATGTGAAAGACCTTGATCTGGGACCCTGGCTCAGTGGAAGAGCCTCTGCTTGGCATGCAGAAGGTCCCAGGTTCAATCCCCGGCATCTCCAGTTAAAAAGGACCAGGCAGGAGGTGATGGGAAAGACCTCTGCCTGATGTGAAAGACCTTGATCTGGGACCCTGGCTCAGTGGAAGAGCCTCTGCTTGGCATGCAGAAGGTCCCAGGTTCAATCCCCGGCACCTCCAGTTAGAAAGGACCAGGCAGGAGGTGATGGGAAAGACCTCTGCCTGATGTGAAAGACCTTGATCTGGGACCCTGGCTCAGTGGCTGAGCACCTGCTTGGCATGCAGAAGGTCCCAGATTCAATCCCTGGCATCTCCAACTAAAAGGCTCAGGCAGGAGGTGACGGGAAAGACCTTTTCTCTGCCTGAGACCCTGGAGAGCTGCTGCCAGTCCAAGTAGACAAGACTGATGGTGGTGGACGAAAGGTCTGAGTCAGTATAAGGCAGCTTCATATGTTCACAAAGGAACACCGAAATACGGGTATCTATAAAGCCGAGGAGGAAGATACTTCATGTCCATCGACTGAAAAAGTTTCCCAAGTCGTTCAACTTCAGCCTCGCAGTATTGGATTCTCAAGTTCTGATCTTAGGAAGAAAACATCTCCTCGCAGCTTCCCGGCAGGGGACACATTTTCTCACTCTCCCGGATTTCTCCTCCCGCGGTTCAATAACAACTTATCGTTGGCCAGCTGAGCTTCTGTCGGACGAGACGGAACATCTTCGAACAACAGGAGGAAGCAATAATATCATTCAATTCGCAGACCATAAAACTTCGGGGCAGAGACAAGACCGGTGAATTATCCTGGAACCGTTGCAGGCGAGGTTGGAGAACTCTGAAACTTTTCTAGCCAAGTTTTACCAGCAAAACGAGTCCTGTTTTCTGAAGTAAGCTGAAGGCTGAAGCCCTCTGATCAAATTAGGGTTGCCAACTCTATGTTGGGAAATAACTGGAGATTTGGGGGGGGTAGAACTGGGAGAATAGATTCCTTTGGACTATGGTGCTGGAGAAGACTCTTGAGAGTCCCTTGGACTGCAAGAAGATCAAATCAGTCAATCCTAAAAGAAATCAACCCTGACTGTTCCCTGGAAGGCCAGAGAATGAAGCTGAAGCTCAAATACTTTGGCCACCAGATGAGAAGGGAGCACTCACTGGAGAAGACCCTGATGCTGGGAAAGATTGAAGGTCAAAGAAGATGGAGACGGCAAAGGATGAGATGGTTAGACAGTGTCATAGATGCAACGAACATGAAACTGAGCAAACTTCAGAGGACAGCGGAAGACTGGAAGGCCTGGCATGATCTGGTCCATGGGGTCACGAAGAGTCGGACTCGACTGTGCGATTGAACAAACTGTTACGAGGGAGCCAAATTGTTGGCATTGGCAGATTTCAAAACCTTTCAGGCAGTCATTTGAATGCTGCACCAATCCGACGGAACCAGAGACGCTTACTTTTGCAGAGTATTTAGACTCAGATAACATTTTCTTTTCAGTAGAAAAGAGCAAAGAGTCCAGGGAGCACCTTGAAGACCAGGCTATTTTTGGGCAGGAACGCACAGGAACGGAGTTCCAGTTGGCTCCTGAGTTGGCCACAAGCAGCAGGAGCTCATTAGCATAATAGGCCACACCCAACAGCAGAAACTTATTAGGATTGGCTACATTAGGGGTGTGTGGCCTAACATGCAAAGGATTTCCTGCTACAAAAAAAGGCCCTGGGTTTTGACAACAAACAAGATAAACAGAATAAGAATCAAAAGGTGGGTGTGGCTGGATGACCACACTTCTGGTAACATGGGGGTGCAGCATAAAATGCCAATGAGCGGTGCTGTCAGGGTGTGGCCTAATATGCTAATATGTTTCTGCTGTTGGGTGTGGCCTGTTATGCTAATGAGTTCCTGCTGGGCTTTTTCTACAAAAAATGCCCTGTTGAAGACTAACAAAATTTGTGGCAGGGGAGGAGCTTTTGTGAGTCACTCCTCACTTCTTCAGATAACCTGAAGATATCAGATATCTGGAGAAGATATCAGATATATCTGAAGAAGTGAGCCGTGACTCACGAAAGCTCCTCCCCCTGCCGCAGATTTTGTTAGTCTTTAAGGTTCGCCTGGACTCTTGCTCTTTTCCACCACTACAGACAGACTGACATGGAGACCCATCTTGGTTTTCTTTTCTTTTCTTTCTTTTAAAAAAAAAGTCTTTATTCAACTCAATAAATTACAAAACTCACACACCAGACGGAAGATAACAAATCTAAATATACAAATACAGCACATGAAGGAAATGCCAAATACTCGACATAACAAGGTTTCCATCTCTCCCAGGGCCATCACAACTTGTTCTTTGTGGGAAAGGAAACATCTCAGGCAAGTCAGTTTAATCCTTCTCTCCCAAGGCCGTCACAACTTATTTGATTTTCTTTTCAAAAGTGGAGAAACTGAACATGCATAAGAGACATCGGTCCAAGAATGGGGAACTTTAAAATTTATTTCAATGACAAAGCGGCCCCGGCTTCTCCCGTGATTACATTAATTTTCTCCACGAGCAGTGCCCCCACTAACCTGAGTTAATGTGAGCCAGCTCACAATTTTTTAGCCTCCAGCTCACACATTTTTGTCTTAGCTCAGGAAGTATAATGTGGTGAGTCCAGATGTGATAGGTTTATTTACAGTGCACAT